CCCCAAAACCCCAAAACCCCAAAACCCCAAAACCCCGCTAAATTCAGATCATATTGAAAATTTTAAAGTAAAATTATAGTACTTCTCCTCCATGATGGCTTGGAGTTCATGGTCTTGGTCTATTAGATTTTATGTGATTGGCTTTCTGATCCATCTTAATCATAAACTCTAAATTTCTTGAATGAAGTAAGACTTTGGGGTTTGGGGCTTCATTAGATATTTTTACAAAATTTAAGCAGCTCAAAAATAGATTAAATAAGTTTTTGAAGGAACTCTGCTCGAAAAGCATAAGAAGGCAAACATGGTTGGTTCAATATCTGAAGAAATCCTTCATTTTCCCTTAAAAAATCTTGAAGATTTCGGACAAAAATGAAGAAATAGCACAGAATTGATACATACTTCGCTCAGGAATCAACAAGAATCGAACATACTTCAAGTAACTTTCAACGAGCCTCTATAATTGCCTTTAATTCTAAAATTTGGAAAGAAGGGTAAGCTATATAACCAAGTGAAAAAAAGAGACTCAAACACAAAGTCAAACACAAAATGCCAGGAAAAGGAAAAGGAGGAAGAGGTAAAACAGCCAGTGCTAGAAAACCAGTCAGCAGATCTACAAAGGCAGGACTTCAATTCCCAGTCGGAAGAATAGCAAGGTTCTTGAAAGAAGGAAGATTCGCTGAAAGAGTCGGATCAGGAGCTCCAGTATACCTTGCAGCTGCTCTTGAGTATCTAGCAGCAGAAGTCCTAGAGTTAGCTGGAAATGCAGCAAGAGATAACAAGAAGACCAGGATTGTTCCAAGGCACATTCAACTTGCTATCAGAAATGATGAGGAGTTAAATAAGCTTCTTAACAATACCACCATTGCTTCAGGAGGAGTTCTTCCTAACATCCATGTGTTCTTGCTTCCAACCAAAGGAAAGGGTGAAAAGCTTGATGCTTCCCAAGGAGATGACTAATTCTGTTGCTTTATGGCAGAACCATACTCTAATTCTTGTATAAATCATAAAAATATATTTTGGGGTTTTGGGGTTTTGGGGTTTTGGGGTTTTGGGG